TATAATTTTTCCTTCTCTTCCTATTTATTTTATTTTTTGTTTTTTTTTTTTTTATTATTTATTCATCAAAAGTGGAGTGTTCCGAAATCGAAAATGTACAAAAACAATTGTTTTGCTATTGTATGAATAGCGTGAAGAATTTGTTACGCTTATTGAAGTTTTTGTTTTGCCTATCTTTTGTTAACTAAAATTCAGGTTTGTAAAACACTTTGTTGCAAAAACTTCGGTAGAGTTCGCAAAGTTTTGTTGCTGTCCACGTAGTAAAACTAAATTTTTTACTATTCCAACTTTTTTCCGTTTACGTAATGAGAAAATTTCGTGTGCAAAAAAATATATTATTTATACCTAAAGTGACCGATTAGTGTTTTTGTTTTTTTACGCATTTACGTGGGACCAGATAGAAATAATTATGCGGAAGCATTAATCATCTTCGATATCTCTATCGGTTAATAAATTTATGATCTAATATGTAATTGAAAATAAAGATGACCAAACGATCGACGCGCTAACGTTGCATAGCAAATTTTACCGAGAAAGATAAGCATTGCCATGTCATACATTATGTATACATGTATGTTTCGTAGAGATAAACAGTTAAAAGTCTCAGAGTATGTTAAAAAAATTAACGCGTTTATAAAAAAAAAATAATTCTTTATGTTAAGAATGTAATTTAATATTTTTAAATGTAACGGATAAATGTACGTTTACAAAACCTTTTAAAGATTTAGTGGATTGACGGGAGTGGCGTTTGAGAGATGTTGAATTTGATGAGCTACAACAATTTGCACATCAGATATTTTATGCTTATTGTCTCCTCAAAAGCAACTATCTTCAACACAACATTAAAGTTGTGTTTTTTCTGGTAAATTCGAGTTTTTTGATCGAGACTAATCCACAAAAATATTTAACAATTAGTTTATGCAATCTCTATTGCAAAACATGATTTATATCTTTTTCTCTCTTTCTCTTTCTTCTTACTAAAAAGAAAAATAATATCTGTTCTGTTAAGAACATAATCGCGCGCGCGTTCTCGACCTTGTATAAAGTACTAATA